AGATAGCAACCACCCAGCTGTGACAACCCTGCATGCCTCCCATCAGTACTGACTCTCCCCTGGGGACAACCCCTGAGAGAGGAGAGAACGATGAAGAAGCTCCCGACCTCATTCTCAGTACATCAGCTGCAGGCAGGCTCTAAGAGGTTCGCAGCCGGGCTGGGCATGTGGATCAGTGGGAGAGTGCCAGTTTTGTAGATATGGGGCTCTCAAAGAATTGTTCTTTCATATAAAAGATGTCTCTGTGGACTGGATGTCATCCTAGCAAACAGTACAGAAAGAAGTACTGAGATGACACTATTGGTTTAGGTCCCCAAAGGAAGCCCAGAAGACTTCTCTCTCTCTCTCTCTCTCTCTCTCTCTCTCTCTCTCTCTCTCTCTCTCTCTCTCTCTCTCTCTCTCTCCTGCCATGTTTTGTGACAAGGAGTTGATTCAAGAATCTGATGTTTCCACCTATCATGGGTTGAATGATGTTTCCCCAAAGATGCAGTGTAGTGCGAACCACCTGGTACCTGCGAGTGTGATTGTGCCCACACTCTGAGTGTGCACTGTTGCTTTTAATACACTGTATGTCTTACTGAGAAACAGTTCCCCCCTCTTTCAGTTATGCCTGTGAAACCGGTGGGCCTCCAGCTGATTTTCTACTTGCCTGCCTCCCCTGCATCTGATTCTCCAATGCATATATTTCTTCGTAAGTCCCTTTCTATGCTTTATTTCTCAGACTCATGCTTTAATTATTTTCTGGCTGGGTCAAACAAACCTTCTACCTGGAGTAGGGTCTAATGACTTTAGCCCTGACCAGGCATTTCCTATAACAGAAATGTAGAGGTCAGGGAGATAGTATAGTGTGTAGAGAGAGCGCTTGCATACGGTCCACCTGGGTTCAATCTTTCACATCCTATATGGTCCCCTGAGCCCATTAGGAGTAGTTCTTGAGTGCAAAGCCAGAGGTAAACCTGAGTAGCTCTAGATGTGACCCCAAAACAAAAACAAGCAAACAAAAACCAACAGAAGCATAGAAATCAGGTGTCAGCAATTCCTGTCATGGTGATCACAGAGACAAAGGCAAGAGGTAGAGAAGAGTGTGAAAGAGAATGAGGTCACATTGGATTATAGCCTACCTGGATCTAGTGGCTGGTGCCCCATCAGAAGGAACTTTGGATGCAGAGAAACATACACTGAGAATAAAGAGGCATAAACTGAAGTTTATCAGTTGCAAGCCAAGGAACACTGAGGATTGAAGCTGGGAAGCGTTCTCCTTTAGAGTCTTAGAGACAATACACCCTCATCAACATCTTACTTTTGTTATTTGTTTGTTTTATTTTATTTTTTTTGGTGGGGGGGGAGAATTGCTCTTAGGCTATCTTAGACAGTGCTCAGGGCTTATTCCTGACTCTTTGCTCAGGGATCTCTTCTGTGCTCAGGTGACCACATGTGGTTCTGGGGATGGAATTGGGTTTGGCTGCATGAAAGGCAAGTGCCTTTATCTCTCTGGTCCAGCCAATATTCTGGTTTTGGACTTCAATCCTTCAGACTTGTGAGAGAATGAATCTTTTTTTGTCTGTTTGTTTGTTTTTAGATCATCTCTAGAGGTGATGAGGGCTACTTTTGGCCCTGTGCTGGGGGTTGCTCCCTGTAGCGCTTGATGGATCATGAGGAGTAGGGAATTGAATCCCGAGTCTCCAAAGTGGATAGTATCTCTCTGGCCTTGAATTCTGAGTTTTTTTTTTTTAAAAAGCCATCCAGTTGGTATGGCAGCCTCTGGAAATGATACATGGGCCACCAGCCAGGAGAAGCTGAGGTCAGCCAACAGTCATGTGAGAGTTGAAAGAGGATCTCCGGAGGCCTGGCCGAGGATAAGGCTGAATGAGCTGGAAGCTGATCAGCCCCCACTGAAGCCTTGAGTTCACTGTGGCCCCAAGTGCCACCTTGATTGCATTCTTGGGAGCCCTGTGGCTATAGGAACCTCTCTCGGCCCCTCCTGGGTACCTCCCGGATGACTCACCCATGGGAACTGTGAGGTAATAAGTGCTTGTTTTTAAGTAGCTAGATTAGTTATGCAGTAATTAATAACTAATATATATGTATATATGTTGGGATGGGGGTTGAAAGGATGAAAACTAATGACAAGGGAAACCAACAAGGATGAGTTGAATAGAGTCAGAAACTAGGACAGGAATGCCACTTGTCTGGGAGTGGCATTGTCCTGAGGGAGGGGTGCCGCCCAGCGGGTGCTCAGGAGGCCTGGCTCTCCGCACTCACAGTCCCCACGGAGGATGTGGTGCTGCTCAGCTCTTGCTGCCGAGGATTATCTTTGCCACCCCTTGGTGCTTGGGCCATATCTGACAGTGCTCAGGGGTTTTTCAAGATGCTCAAGGGATCATGTAGCACTGGTTGGTTGCATTGCAAAGCAAGTGCTTTACCTGTTTTATTTTCTCTGTGTATAAATGTTTGAAAACACTTTATTGTGAACCCTCTGGGTACTTCTTTTTCTTTCTTTTTTCCTCCCCCACCCCCGTTTTTGGCTTGTTTTTGGACCATGTCCATCAGTGCTCAGGAGTTACTTTTGGCAATGTTCAGAGGACCATGTATGGTGCCAGGGATTGAACGGAACTGGAGCATCCTGCATGCAAAGCTCATTGCTCATTGAACTCTCTCTTTAGACCTGGGCGACTTCTTTAGACCACATCTTGGTTTCATTTCTTTCCCAGAAATTCATTCACAGGTGTCTTCCTCAACCCCAACTCCCTGTTTCACTGAGCATAGAGCTGGGGAATAGGCAATGCTGGGTCTAGACTAAAAATAAAAAGCAAAAAAAAGAGGGGGGGGAGCTGGAGAGATAATAAAGTGGGTAGTGCACTGGCATTTCACATGGCTGGCTCAGGGTTGATTCCTGGCACCGTATATGGTCCCATTAGCCCCATTAGGAGTGATCCCTGAGCACAGAGTCGGGAGTAAGCCCTGAGAACTGCTGGGTGTGGCCCAAAAAATGAAAGGAAAAAAGAAAAAAGAGAAAGAAAGAAAAAAAAGAAAGGAAGAAAGAAAGGGAGAAGGGAGGGAGGGAAGGGAGAGAGATAGAAAAGGAGAAAAATGAGGCTCTTCTTTTCTTTAAATAGAAAGGACACTTAATACATAGAGAAGGAATGATAGAACTGGAATGCACCACTTCAGAGCCAATACCAGATGTGCTCATCAGTGCACGTACAGCGCTGGTTTCAGCCTGTCACTGCAAACATTCTCAAGTGCAGCAGAAGAGAGGTGTCTGCAGAGCTGTCTGACAGGCCACTCTGACCAGTGGTCACACTTGGCACTGTGGATAGGGACAAAAGAACAGTGTGCTTTCCCATGTGAATGTACACAATTTACCCTAAAACTAATAATTAGGAAATACAATGTGATAAATCCAGCATTGATACATGGAAATACGTGGAAATTAGTTTTATCGGGCAGAAGTGAACTCTCAAAGTCTCAAGGTTTCTTTCTTGGGAAAACTAACTCTATCTCTCTGCCTGTTGAGTGCATTCCTGGCAGTGTTCCAGCAACCATTTTGTGATGGGGGAGAACCTGGGGCCCCCACATGCATTCCTAGCCAGCACTTCAGCCTTTTGAGCTACGCGGATTGCATTTTGTTGTTCACCTATACGACTTCCTATACCAGACTCTCAAAATGTAAATGCTGCTTTTGATCAACCAGGGTGTTGGAAATTTCCAATCTACCAACAGAGAAATGCTTTCTCTCCTAATTTATAGCAAATGTAAATTTCTCCTCTAGTGAAGATTACCTGCTTGTCAAAATCATATAGACCTGACGTCTTTTTTTAAATGGAGAAGTTGCAAAATTGCTTCTTCCTCGGGGCATTCCTGAAACTTAAAAAATTAAAGTTCAGGGCTGGAGAGTTAGTACAGCCAGTAGGGCAATTGCTTTGCATGTGGTCAACCTAGGTTTGATCTTGGGTGCCACGTATAGTACTCTGAGTCCCACCAGGAGTGATACATTTGCACAGAGCCAGGAGTAAGACCTGAGCACACAGTCCCCCCCATCACCCTCACCCTGCTGTGTACCCCCACCCCCCAATGGAAGTTCATTCTTTATCATAAAGCAGAAATAATTTAATGAATAATACAATTAAAATTGGCCTGAACTTTTCAAACACGTTCAAGTTATGTGTTTTGTTTTTAAGCGAAATCTAGGATTAAAGGAATTTATAGAGCCACAAAATCGAAAGCAACAGGTGAAGGCTGGGAGGTAGCTCAAAGGGCTGGGGCTCAGGTAGCCTTGCAGTAAACCAAGCACAGGGCTGAGAGTAGTTCCCTGAACAACTCTGCCTGTGTGGGCTCCCAGCCAAAGCAACAGGTAAACCTGAGTAGATATTTTTAAATGCGTATATGACCTTTTGGGCCAGCGAATTTGTTGTGCTCAGAAGCTACTCCTGGCCAGTGGTCATGCTGTGCGGGAGGGTGACATGTGTTGTCAGCTCTAACCTGCTGAGCTCTGTCCATCCCCTTATTGCATGTCTTGCGTGTGATAATGATGAAGTACTTGGGCTGAAGCAACGTTACTGACCACTTTTCAGGGGCTCAATGGGAAACGCGATGCAGTGAGAGAGATCTCGAATGTTATGAAACGCTGGCATTTAGCGGACTGGCGTTGTCTCATCTTTTCAGTTTTCAGATTGTCATTGCCCAACTCAACAGCTGAGATTAAAAAAAAAAAAAAAGTTAGTGCCAGTCTATTTCTTGCCCTTTCAGGCTCACGGCGTCACAGAGAATCAGTACGCTGAGTCCTGTTCCCTGAGTTTCCCTTTCACTTCGGAATCCGGACAGGAGGCCATCCCAGGTGCCACCCCATCCCGATCAGCTTGCACGCGAGCCTCACGGAACCCGCGACCCGGAGCGCGTCCCTCCAGCCCGGGGTGGGGGGGTGGGAGCTGGAGCGCGTGGGCGCGGCTGGGGCGGGGCCTGGGAAGAAGCGACCAATGGGAGACGAGGTGGAGGGCGGGGCGGGGCTTCGCGCAGGCTCCTGGGAGGCCCCGGCCACTAGCGGGCCTTTTCTACCGCTCCGGGCCGCTGCGGTGCGCGGTTCCTGCTGACCCCGGGTAGGAGGAGGTGCTGGGCAGCCGCCGCCGCCCGGTAAGCGCCGGATCCCCCTGGCCGCGGTTGTGCTGACCGCTCCACACCTGCTCCTGGTCGCCCCTCGCACGGCCTGTACCCATTTGTTCATTGCACCCTGAACCTGCCGGTGCGGGGACTCTCACCGCTCGTGCCGGGGGCGCGGGGACTGGTGTCCCGGAGAGCCTGGACGCGGTCAGGGGGTCGCCGCTGCTCTCCGGTGCCCGTGCAGGGCCGGGCCGCGTGCGGCGTGATGTTCCCAGGCCGGGCCGGCTTCTCCGGCTGCGGCAGTCTCGTTGCGTAGGAGCGGCCTCCGGGCCATCCCACACCACCCTATCTTATCTCCTGGCGGTATTGGCGGATCCCCGCATCCCCGCGATCCGAGGGGAAGGGTCCGTTCTGGCATCAGGCGGGCGCGCCTTTCCCCCTGCGGTGCGCTTCGCCCGCTTCTGCATCACCCCTCCTGCCCGAGGCTCCAGCGCGCCGGTGAGCTCTCTGCTCTGTGCTCTGGGGAAGGGCACGCGTACTTTGAATTGCTCCTTGGAACACCACCAGGTTGGCTCACGTTTGCAAGAGCGGGTCGAATTCATTTGCTCGGAAACTTAATGTAGCTGTGGATTTTAGCGTCTTGCGGGGTGCAAGGGATGTCCTGGGAAGCAGTTGCAATGCTCAGTGTTTTGGTTTCTGCGCAAGAGTTTGTTGGGACTGCCTTCCAGAAAAATCTAGCTTTGTCCTTCTGCAGGGGCAAAAAAAGTTAAATAGGCTTGAGTTTTCGTCTTGTCTTTGCTGCTGCCAAAGTTCTGCGACCAGGGGCATAGATAAGGGACGTTAATGAAAGGCGATAAGATTTCTAAGATATCTTTTAAGCCCACATTTCTGACATCTCTGATGACTTGTTTTTCATCACTGCCTTTTGAAAGAACAAGAAATAAAAGGGCTATGAAAGGCGGCTTTGTGGGGAACAAAGATTTATGAGCACGCAGAAGTTTAGAGACGGATGGATTATAACTTTAAGACGGCAGATTGAAAAGGGAGCACAAGTAACATAGCAAAGGTTTGTCCAGAATTAATTTATAGGGGAAACTTGTAAAGCTTTCAGAAGTTCCAACAGCAATTATTGTATTTAATTAACTCTCTTTTGCAGATGCTACAAAAGAGTTAAGGAGAAAATAAATGCTAGGAGAAAATACAGTAGCGAGTATATGTCACCTAGCATATATCTTAATTCTCGGGAGAATCCTTTGGAATTCTTGATTTGTATAGCAGTGCCCAGGAAGCAAAGTAAATGGAAAACTTTGTATAATGCATGCAGGAAAACCTTACATTTATTCCAAATGTATGGAATTTCCTACCCTCCACTCATATAGCTTTGTAAGGACACCAGTAACTTTTGATTGGGGGCTATTTCCAGTGCGCTGCTCAGGAGCCGTTCCTGACTATGCTCCACCAGCACTGCTGACTTGACTTTTAAGTGCCAGTCCCAGACATGCTGGGGTGCATGCCTGCGTCAGGCCATATTGGTGGGCTACTCCCAGCGGGGTGCTTTGGGGTCGCTCCTCATGGTGTCTGGGGACTGTGCTGTTTACACAGTGTAGCACAGAAGTAGTCCCAGGGTTTTTTTTAGTCCAGCTTGACTAAAGGGTATGGGCTTGAAGGAGTGCAGAGTGGGAAGTGATGGCCTGTTCTGCAGGACACTAGAATTTTTGCAGACTGTGACCCCTTTCCTGGCTCTCAGGCGAGAGACTACTAAGCACTGGTGATTGTCAAGGACACATCCGTCTCCTCGAGTGCATTGGTCTGCGAGCCTGACACTTCAGCATAGCTGGTACTATTCGGTTCCCCCAAATTTACGAGAAGTTAAGAAATGCATATGAGGAGAACTGCTGTATTTCCCCTCAACACACACACACACACACACACACACACACACGAGGAGAACTGCTGTAACACACACACACACACACGAGGAGAACTGCTGTAACACACACACACACACACACACACACACACACACACACACACACACACAAGATGGATCAGAAGTGAGGAGGTATTCTGGTTTCCAAAGCAGAGACTTGAGCCTGAGACGCTCACTCCTGTCCCAGCTGACTGTGGTTAGTCGTTATTGCTCACCAGCCCGTCTTCTCCTCTGCACTCTTACTTAGCTCGGACCTTTTCTTGTTTGCATGTTTGACCTATTGTGGATGCTCTTTGGTTGTTTGTTTATTTTGGGGATTGGTGCCACATCTAATAGTGCTCACAGTTCTGTGTTTGGGGACCAGGTGAAGCCAGGAATGGAACCCAGACTGGGATAGTTCTCTGACCCTGTTATTGTTTTTTTTTTTTTTGGGGGGGGTTGGCATACCTGGTGGTATGCAGGTCTATTTCCTGCTCAGTGCTCCAAGATGCTCCCTGTGGTCCTGACTGGACCATTGTGTCAGCGCTCGAACTGGGTCTCCTGCATGAAAGCATGCACACCAGCCCTTCCATTTGGTTGTTCCATAAACCAGATGACCACTTCTCTGACCCAGCCACCATTATTCTGTGAAGGCACAGTCCTCTCTCTCCCCTGCTCGGGGCTTTGGTCATCGTATTCAGAAAGGAACTCTGGAGTTCTTACCCTCCTCTCGCTAACTTCTGTGTGAAACATAGACATAGGTGAGGTTGTCAGTGAGCGCAAAGTGCTGTCACAGCTTACCCAGGCTTTCGGAGTGGGTGCTCCTTTGTGGAAGTTCACTGTGAGGGTGCGTCCCGGTAGTAACTGACTGGTGTCTGCCCCGTTCGTTGGAAGCCAGGCAGAGGCCAGTCTTCTGCGTGGGGAGTAGCTAACTTGGTGCTCTAGCCAAGTTTCCACGTGCGTGTAACCCAGAGCCTCTGGGTTATCAGCTAACTGAAAACTTAATATTAAAACCAACAAAAGGAAAAGCGGCCAACTCTCATTAAAGCTAAACTAGCAAAACAAATAAAAGTGGGGTGGGAAAACAGAAAGTTAATCACTGACAGGAACATGAGATCATATGACAATGGTGACTTTAAAAACTACTTCGTCTAGAACGTAGGTATCAGTTTATAGGTCGATGTCTCATGTTTTGCTTGCATTCTTGTGAATACCGTTTGTGATATGGGTTGACACACATGTACTTAAATGTATGGATATGCAGAGTCTACATTTCTGTATTTGCTGTAGAGAAATTGCTACTAAATACAATGAATAAAAAGAAGCAATGTCAGAATAATGTTATCAAAGATTAATTATGTAGGAAAGTATTTTAATGTAGAATTGGCCATTGTTTATTTCTGACTGAAGTTTTTAGGTGGCTTTTTCTTTTTGTTTGTTTATTGGGCCATACCTGTCAATGCTCAGGACTTACTCCTGGCCCTGCACTCAGGGATAACTCCTGGTGGTACTCAGAGGACTACATGGAGTGCGAGGATTAGACCTGGGTTGATAGTGTGCAGGGCAGTTGCCCTACCTGCTGTACTCTCAGTTCAGTCTCTAATTCCTTCCTTCCTTCCTTCCTTCCTTCCTTCCTTCCTTCCTTCCTTCCTTCCTTCCTCCCTCCCTCCCTCCCTCCCTCCCTCCCTCCCTCTCTCCCTCCCTTCCTCCTCCCTCCCTCCCTCCCTCTTTCCCTCCCTTCCTCCCTTCCTTTCTCCTTTTCCTCCCTCCCTTCCTCCGTTCCTTCTTTCTCTTTCTCTCTACCCCGTGGTGCTCAGATGCTACTTCTGGCTCTGCACTCAGGAGTGACCCCTAGAGGTGCTTCAAGGACCGCATGCCAAGGAATTGAGCCAGGGCTGGCCCCCTGCAAAACCTTAATGTCTTAACTGTCTCTTTGGCCCTGGCACATGTTTTTATTATTAAATGTGTTTTTCTAGGGGCTGGAGAGATGATCTGTTTGCCTTGTATGAGGCCAATCCTGGTTCAGTTCCCTGGTACCACATGTGGTCCTCTGAGTCCTGCCGCGAGAGATCCCTGAGCAGAGCCCAGTTTGGCTCCAAAACCAGAACAAGTAACCGCCACCCTCCACACACACACACAGATGTGTTCTTTTATTTAATAGAATGTGTTACTGACCACTGACTTAAATATTAGTTGGATTAGGAATTTAGTAAGGCTAAACCTTAGTAAAGTTCATCTAGTACTGAATGTTTTTCTGAATAATAGGAAGCTGAAAGGTGTTTTAGGTGTAGGCTTGTTCTTTGCTACCGAAATATTATAAAACACCGCGTTTTCAAATTCTGTGTTTTTTGGGAGGACTTTTTTCTTACCCTATTGCTGCCTAACTGCTCTGAATTTGCTTCCTGTCACTGAGGAAGAGCTCTTTGTGGATCCCTTAGACTTTCTTTGCATCCCTGCAATTGAACCCTCTTCCTCTGAGCCATGACATATGCCCTTTGTGGGTTCCTGTGTTTTCTCTCAGTGCCTGGGAACCCTTTGCGGAGAATGATGTTCTTGGTGGAGATGACATATACGCCTCTCCTTGGGAAACAGATGTGGGAAACTCCTATAACTTCCAGAGCAGAAGCATGGTGTTGCTTGCTGGAAATGAGTGCGACACATAAAGCATGTTGTCGTACATTGTCGTGATCATCATGATTATGGTCATCCTGTTGTTCGTCGATTGCCTCAAGCAGGCCCCAGTAACGTCTCCTTCATCCTAGCCCTGAGATTTTAAAAACTTCCATATTCAAGGCTCTTTCAGAGTTAGGAGAATGAGACCCATCATTGTTACTGGTATTTGGCATATTGGGGACGTCACGGGGAGTTTGCCAGACTCTGCCGTGTGGGCAGGTAGCATTCAGAAACCTGCCAGGTTGTCCAAAGTAAGAACGAGATAATAAGATGGCCATGCGCTTCCGGGAGCTGGGTTTTATAGTCTATGGGTCTTAGTCGTTGATGGGATTACCTGGTGCTGGGAGCAGTTGGTGGGTGTGACCCCTGCCTACTGGAAGATGGAGGATCTGGGTGGAGGATGCTCAGTCCCAATCCAAGCAGGTTTGGAGATCTCGGCCCCGGGACCCGCATGCCTGTGTTCCTCGGCTGGTTCCTTTATGCGTGTGGAGAGTGGTCTCAGCATGGTTGTGGCTGGTTCTGGAGGTCTTCGGCTCGGGGTGGGGAGGGAAACTCAACCCGCCCCCCTCCTAGGGGCCCCGGCAAGGACAGCCAGGCAGGAGACTGGGGGCAGGAGACTCTGCGTTGTTCTTTTCTGGGAGCTGGGTTTTATTTTATTTTTATTTATTTATTTTGCTTTTTGGGTCACACCCGGCGATGCACAGGGGTTACTCCTGGCTCTGCGCTCAGGAATTACCCCTGGCGGTGCTCAGGGGACCATATGGGATGCTGGGAATTGAACCTGGGTCTGCTGCGTGCAAGGCAAAAGCCCTACCCGCTGTGCTATTGCTCCAGCCCCGGAACTGGGTTTTATAGTCTCTGGGTCTTAGCTGTTGATGGGATTACTCGGGTTTGCCACGTGCAAGGCAAGCACTCTCTCAGCTATACTATCGCTCTGGACCTTGTAGCAGAATTTTTGATGGCCCATCATTAGATGCAGATATATTTAGGTGCATGAGTTCTTGACGTATGGATCCCTTGATCATCAATAAATGATCATTCATAAAGATCATGCCCTGTCCTGTATGGCCTTGTAAAATTTGAAGGCTGTGTTGTGTGGTTTAAGTATGGGCACCACAGCCTTTTGCAGTGAATCGTTTGCTTGTAAGATTGTTTTCCATCCTTTGACTGAGCTAGTTTCTACCCTGATTGCTCAACTGTGTCTCTTGTAGGCAGCAGAAAGTGGTATATACTTAATCCTCACAACAGACCTGAAGAGCTAAGTGTTTTGTTTAGCTTTGTGAATAAAAGTACCGGCTGTGTCGGTGCTTTGATGAGGATGATGTTGTTGAAGACACCCGCCAACCCGTTAAAAGGAACTAAACCAGGAAGGAAGGGGTGTGTGTAGCTCTGACCCTAGACAGTCTCTTTCCTTCACTCTCACCTACCCCCACAGTTCCCCTCTTCCCCGTGAGAGAAGAGAACTGACTTATACAAAGTAAACCAGTAATATATCCCAGAGATTGTAGGAAACTGTATTTTTACTTAATGAGACTTGTTTGCAACATTTTTTCCTGCTCTTCTACACTTGACTGGTTTCATTTCCCTCCAGAGGTCTCACTGACACAGTGAGTGGACTCAAAGAGAAAATGTTTATTTGTAGGGAGTGGGCAGTTTGCACAGGTGCTCAGGGCTTACTCCTGGGTCTGCACCAGAGGGCACTCCCCGGAAGTGCTCCGGGAACCATAGGCAGTGCCGGGATATAACCAGGTTGACTACATATCAGGCAGGCACCTTTTCCTCTGTCCTACCGTTCCAGCCCCTAACAAATGTTTAATGAGTGAAGAGCAAATGTAAGAGATCATCTAGCAAATGGCCTCCATTGTATGCCTGCTGACTGCATATACGCAGAGCAAGGTAGCAGCTTATTGGGTTATTGAAGGCTGCTGTGAGAATCAAGTCAGTCGATAAAGCTGCTAATTTGGGATTTAGTAGCTAGGTTGGTTTATTTAAGCAAGGCTCCCCGGGGAAGTGTTGCTCACATCTGATGGCACTCTGAAAACATGAATTTAAAGAAGAGCCTTCAGGGCTGGAGAGACAGCACAGCAGGTAGGGCATTTTGCCTTGCATGTGTCTGACCTTGGTTCGATCCCCAGCACCCCAGAGGCTCCCCCAAGCCCTGCCAGGAGTGATTTCTGAGCACAGAACCAGGCGTAAACCCTGAGCACTCTGGGTGTGCCCCACCCCAATTTTTTTTAAATTATAAAAAAGAAAAAAAGAAGAAGAAACTGCCTGTGTGATGTCATAACTTTGAGATTTTTTTCCTTTTATGCCTAGGACACATTGTGTTGGAGACTGTTTCCATGACTCAAAGGAGAAGAAACAGTGAGGAGAATGTCAGCCCTCAACTGGAAGCCCTTCGTCTATGGAGGGCTGGCCTCCATCACAGCAGAGTGCAGTAAGGAATCATGGGGCTCCTGGAAGTTTGGCTTGCCTCCATGTGATGGTGCTTAAAAGTTCACGCCAGGGGCCCGAGCCACAGTACAGTGGGCAGGGTGATTGCTTTGCATGGAACTGACCAGAGTTCAATCCACGGCATCCAATATGATCCCCTCGAACACCGCCAGAAGCAATTTCTGAGTGCAACGCCAGGAGTGACTTCTGAGCATTGCTGGGTGTGGCCCAACCCCGCCATTTCCCCTAAAAATGAAAAGTTCCTGTCACCATTTGATGTCTGATGTGAATGTTGTTCACTTATAGAGAGTGAGGTTATCAGAATTCAGTGTTTTCTTCCTAAATTCAACTGCTGCTATTTGCAAATGACATAATGACGTGCACAGAAAATCCTAGAGATTCCACTTAAAAAACCCTGTATTTCACCACATAAGTGTCACCTCCGCATAATTGTCTCACCCTGTTTTGTTTTGTTTTCTTAGTAGTACCATTGCAATTCTAAAAAACAAAACCTGACAGTAAGAAAAGATTAAATGTCACGCAGTTTACTGCTCCATGGATTTATCTGGAGAGTATCACATTGAATGATGTTAGAGGGAGAGAGACAGACACAGAATGATTTCTCTTGTATGTGGGATGAAGAAACTTTGTAAGAGAATAACAAAGCCCTGAACTCAGTAGAAACGAAGAGCAGTAAAACTGGTCATCAGAAGCTTGCCACTGGGTTTAGGCGGTGTTGGTATGGGGGATAAATTAGGGAAGGGATCACTAGGACCATGGTGGAGGTGAAAAGTCCCTTTAAAGAGGCAGGTTGGGGGCCAGGAGGGAAATTAGGGACATTGATGGAAGGAAGTAAACACTGGTGAAGGGATTTGTGTTGGAAAACTGTATGACTGAAACTTAATAATGATTAACTTTGTAACTCTGTAGTTCATAGTGATTAAAAATGAAAAAGTATACAAAAGAAAACAGAAACAAAACACAACTTCTTATAATAGGGTTGGGGAATAGTACAGGGGTTAAAAATGTTTGTTTTTTCTCCTGCTGACACTGGTTCAAATCCCTGGTACCACGCATGGTTCCCCTCAGTGAATTACCAGGGGTAATTCCAGAGTTAGGAATAGCCCCAGAACACTGCCAGTCTAACCAAAACACTTCACATAATGCTGACACTCCAGTTTTTTGCAAAAGATTTTTTTTCATAAAACCTGTGATGAGTATGTGGTGAAATACAGTACTTAAAACAAGAGACCAGTATAGTAAAATGACAAGCTAAAATGTATGTAAAAATCTCTTTTCTATATGCAAATTGTGAAAATAGAAGAATAATACATCAAGAAAAGTCCCAGTCATTTGCTTCAGAAAGAATTACATACCTAGGAAGAAACTTCAAAAAAAAATGTGAATGACATCACGGTCCTCCCATTGTTCATCGATTTACTCAAGCGGGCCCAGTAACATCTCCATTGGAGACTTTGTTGTTACTGTGTCTGGCATATCGAATACGTCACGGGGAGCTTGCCAGGCTCTGCCTGCGGGCGAGATACTCTCAGTAGCTTGCCAGGCTCTCCGAGAGGGGTGGAGGAATCAAACTCGGGTCGGCCATGTTGGCTGCGTGCAAGGCAAACACCCTACCGCTATGCTATCGTTCCAGCCCGTGAATGACATATATAGCAAAAATTGTAAGACATTTTTAGAAGAAATAAAACTGTTCCTAGAATGAAAAGAACAGTTTTATGGATTAGAAGAATAACTTTCTGGATTTTTTTGCCATACCCAGCAGTGCTCAGAATTTATTTCTGGTTCTGCACCCAGGGATTATGCTCAGTGGGATTCAGGAAGCCATATAGGGCACTGAGGATCGTACTGGGGTCAGCTGTGTGCAAGACAAGTATCCACCTGCTATACTGACTCTCCAGCCTCTCTAAGAACTAATTTTTATTGTTTGTTTTTGGGTCACAATCAGTGGTGCTCAGGGCTTACTCCTGGTACTGTACTTATGAATCACTCCTTGCAGGGTTTCAAGGGCCCATGCGAGGTGCTGGGGATTGAACCCTGGCTTGCCACATCAAAGGGAAGTGTCCTGCCCACTGTATCGTTTCTTCAGCCTCTGGAAGAACTAACATTGAAATAACCATTCTACCCAAAGCAGTGTAATTCCTATCAAAATTCTAATGCTGTTTTTCAAGGAAAAAGAGCAAACACTCTTTAAATTTGCATGGAATCATACAAAAGACTTCAAGTAGCCAATGCAGTATTGAGAAAAGATTACCTGTGTCTTATTCTCTGACTTCAAGCCTGACTGTAAAACAATACCAATTAAAACAAAAATGTTGGGACTGAAACAGAGTTTTAACAGTAGAGTAGAACTGACAGTCTGGTGGGTGGGGAAGCAGCACTTACCTGTGAGAGCCCTGGGAGTCAATTCCTTACACTGGGGGGGGGGGGGGTTTAGGACTAGAGAAATCGTACCATGGGTATAGCACTTGTCTTGCATGCTGCTCTCATGGGTTTGATCCCCAGCACCCCATATGCCCACCCCAAGCACCCCCATGAGTGATTTTCTGAGTGCATATTCAAGATCAATTCCTCTGAGCACTGCTGAGCGTGGCCTCAAAACCAAAATAAATTTTTTTTCCCGATTCCTAACTTTTTAATAGGAATGATATTGAAGGGGCGAGAGAGATCGTATAGTGGGTAAGTGCTTGTGCTTGCTTGACTTGGGTTTGATCTCTGGTATCCTGTATGGTTTCCTGAGGGCCTCCAGGAGTGATCCTTGAGTGCAGAGCCAGGAGTAAACCTTGAACACTACTAGGTTTGGCCCAAACACAGAAGAGAAAAAAAAAAGGAGAGAAAATAAGATTGCAGAGTATCTTCTATTTCTCAATTTTATTTCTAAGTTTATATTATAGTTTTCCTCCTCCATAGTATATCATCCCGTATCCTTAGCTGAATTTCCATTTACTAAGTGATAAAATATATGTATATTTTAATTTTAGGTACATTTCCAATTGATTTAACCAAGACACGACTCCAGATTCAAGGCCAGACAAATGACTCCAAATTCAGAGAAATTCGGTACCGAGGAATGATGCATGCACTAGTGCGGATTTGCAGAGAGGAAGGGCTGAGGGCGTTGTATTCAGGGTAAGTGGATCTTTATACCAGTGTATTTATTTCTCTGATGGTTGCTCAAATAACTGGACTGAGACTAATATTTCATGAAGGAAAAGGAAAACAGATTTATTTGGAAAGGCTAGTAGTGTGGTAGATTTCTTTTTGGTTTTAGTTTCAATTTTATTTTCTGTATATGTACTTCATGTGTGCTTTTATTATTTTTCAAATATGCATAATACAAGCATTGGGCTTTTGTTGTTATTGCTGCTCTTTTTTTTTTGTTTGTTTTTTGATTTGTTCTTTGGGTTTGGGGGGCATGTTTGGCAATGCTCCGTGGTTACTTCACTGAATAACTAAGGAATCACTCGTGATGGTGATCATTCTGGACTCAGGAATCACTTGTGATGGTGCTTCAGGGACCATATGGGATGCTGAGGATTAAATTCAATTTGACTGCATGCAGAGCAAGTGATTTACCTGCTGTACGAGTTCTCCAGCCTCATGAACACTGTTTTTAGAAAATTTCATATTTCTGTTTTTTACTCTGAAAATAGCCCTTTTCCATGGCTATTCTGTGAATCACTGGTGTTTTTTGCCATAATGAAAATCATGAATTCCCTATGGGAGAGAGCTGCAGTGAACTACAGTGTGTGTGTGTGTGTGTGTGTATGTGTGTGTGTGTCTGTGTCTGTGTGTCTGTGTGTGTGTGTGTGTGTGTGTGTGTGTGTGTGTGTGTGTTTTGGTCATAAGTATTTAGGGGTTGATGCTGGCTCTGTGTTGAGCTATCAGCTCCCAACAGTGTTCAGAAGGCTGTATGTAGTGCCAGGATCAAGCCGAGTCAGCCAGGTGCAAGGCAAGTACCATAACCTCTCTGGCCCCTGGGTTTTTTTTTTTTAATCTAAAAAAATGCATTGAACAGTATGGTATTGGGTGTGCATAAGAAAGTGAATAGATAAGACCCAGCACTTGTCAGATAACAACTGTCAGATAACAACTCCCAAATCAGGAAACAACTGATTTGGGAGGATTAATAAAGAGGAATGATTAAAGGAGCTGTTTCAGGATTAGGCTATTGATATATCTAGGATCTAGCAAAGTGACAAATCTACTATGAAAGGGACAGGGACAGGAGGTAAGGGACCTGATTTTGAAAGAATTAGGAAGACTGAGGTGAAGAAGGGATCTGCATTCCCATAGAGCAAAGCTATGTGTAAGAAAGCGTAGTATGTGCTGGAGAGATAGTATAGTGGGATTCGGTACATCACATAGGGCTCCCCAGTAACTCAGGGCCACCAGTGACTGACCTTGGGTAGTGTGGGAGATGGTGAGTGGCAGGAGAGGGAGTTGGAACAGTAGTACGGCATCAGGACATGAACACCTCAGACCATGCTAAGCATCTTTTATTTTGTTTTGTTTTGGGGCCACATGTGGCAGTGCTCAAGGCTTATTCCTAGCTATATTTTCAGGGGACACTCCTGGTGGACAGTATGTGGCACCAGTACGGAACCAGGGTTGGTCATGTGCAAGGCAAGTGTTTCTCCTCCTGGACTATTGTCTCTGGTCCCACATTAGATATTTTATCTAATACCACATAAGTTGCCGGTGTCTCACATTCCATCACCAATCCCTCAGTATTTTTATTTTTCAATGAGCCAACTTGGGATCTTATCTTCTCATGAAAAGTCTGTGAGTGGAAGCACATCTGTATGCTTCTGATAGCAGCTCCTCACTGAAATTAAGGATGCTTTTTATGTTACCTGAGAGACCCAACTCATCGACTCACTAGAGGCCTCTGCCTGGCTCCTGGAAGCATCTGGGTTGCAATGCCCATGTCATCCAGAAGTTACTGGTGGGCTTTAATTTGGGGGACTGACAGAGCATTATACAGATTCCATGCAGTCCCTATAAGGATACCAGTGACATATTTCAGAGAAATAAATCAAATACTCCTGAAATTCATATGGAACAATAAGTCCTCACAAATAGCTAAAGCAGTCCTTGGGAAAAAGAATATGGGTGGCATCACCTTCCTCAACTTCAAACTGTACTACAAAGCAGTAGTAATTAAAACAGCATGGTATTGGACTAGAAACATCTGCAGACCAGTGGAACAGAATTGAATATTCTGTCATAGACTCTCAGATATATGATCACTTAATCTTTGATAAAATAGCAAGAAATGTGAAGGGGAGCAAGGAAAGCCTCTTCAACAAGTGGTGCTAGGAAAACTGGACAGCTACTTGCAGAAAAAATGAACTCAGACCTCTGTCTAATGCCAGGCACAAAAGTCAGATCCAAATGGATTAAAGACCTTACTATCAGAATCCATAAGGTACATGGAGGAAAATGTAGGCAGAACCCTCCATGACATTGAAACTAAAGGCATCTTTAAGGATGAAACACCACTGACCAAGCAAGTGGAAAAAATATAAACAAATGGGATTACATTAAACTGCACCTGAAAAGAAACAGTGACCAAAATACAGGAGCCCATGAATGGGAAAAATTATTTACCCAATATCCATCAGATAGGGGCTTAATATCCAGGATATACAAGACACTGGTAGAACTTTAAAAGAAAAAACCTCCAACCCCATCAAAAAATGGAGAGAAGAAATGAACAGAAACTTCCTTAAAAAAGAAATTTAGATGGCCAAAAGGCACAGGAAAAAATGCTGTATGTTGCTAATCATCAGGGAGATGCAAATCAAAACAATGAGATATCATCTTACACCACAGAAACTGGCACACATCAAAAAGAAAAAGAACAACCAGTGCTGGTGCGGATGTGGGGAGAAAGGGACTTTCCTTCATTGTTGGTGGGAATGCCAACTGGTCCAGCCTCTTTTGAAAACAATATGAGCATTCATCAAAAATCTGGAAATTGAACTTCTATATGACCCAGCAATGCCACTTCTCTGAATATTCTCCAGCGTCCCAAATACACACAGCAGAAAAGCCATTGCACTTCTATTTTTTTTTTCAATTTTTATTGTGAAACACCATGAAGTACAGTTGTAGACTTACAAATTTTTGTGCTTGGGTTTCAATTATACAATGATAGAGTACCCATCCTTCCACCAGTGCCCATTTTCCACCACCACTAATCCCAGTATCCTTCCCACCCCTATCCCCCCATCCCCCCCTGCCTCTGTGGCAGGGCATTCCCTTTTGTTCTCTCTCTCCTTTTGGGTGCTGTGGTTTGCAAAAGAGGCACTGAGTGGCAATCATGTTCGGTCTATAGTCTACTTTCAGCATGCATCGCTCATCTTGGGAGGATCCTCCCAACACCTTTATTTGTTGCTCCCTTCTCTGTCTGAGCTGCCTTCTCCCCTAGCATGTGCGGCTGGCCTCCAAGCCATGGAGTGAACCTCCTGGTACTTATCTCGGCAATTCTTGGGTGTTAGTCTCCTATTTTGTTAATTTCTGTTCCCCAGATGAATGCAATCTTTCTATGTCTGCCCCTCTCTTTCTGACTTATTTCGCTTAGCATGATACTTTCCATGTAGTACCACTTGTATGTAAATTTCATGACTTCATCTTTTCTAACAGCTAGCCATTGCACTTCTATGTTCACTGCAGCACTATTCACAATAGCCAGAATCTAGAAACAACCTGAGTGCCTGACAACAGATGACTGGATAAAGAAATTATGGTACATCCACACAATGAATACTATGCAGCCACCAGGAAAAATTAAGTCATGAAATATGCTTATAATTATAATAATACCTGGGCATGGAGAGTATTATGCTGAGTGAAATGAGTCAGGAGAGGGTCAGACATAGAATGATTGCACTCCTTTGTGGGATGTAAAGAAAACGTCATATGAGACTAATACCCATACCATGGATAGCAGAAACAAGGACTGGGAGGACTGGTCCACTCTTGGAAGCTTGCTACAAGTCGGGGTGGAGGGCCAGGGAGAGAGTGCAGTTAGGATAGAGAAGGGGCCACTATTACTGTAATAGTTGGAAATGACCATTATGGACAAGAACGGAATACTGAAAGTAGGTTAAGAGATATATTCATAACCTTTTAGTATCTGTATTGCAAACCATAATGCCCATAAGGAGAGAAAGAGAGAGAGAGAGAGAGAGAGAGAGAGAGAGACAGAGAGACAGAGAGAGAGAGAGAGAGAGAGAGACAGAGACAGAGAGACAAAGAGACAGAGAGAGACAGAGACGTGAGTGAGTGAGGGGGGGGGAAGAGAAGAGAGAAGAAAAGTGCCTGCAGTAGGGGCACTTGGAGATTGGGGGTGGGGAATTGGAGGGAAACTGGGGATATTGTGGTGGGAAATGTACAGTGATGAAGGGACAGGTGTTGGAACATTGTATGACTGAAACTCAGTCTTAAACAAGTTTGTAATCTCACAGTGATTCAATTAAAAATGTTTGGGGACTGACAGGATCAGGTTCCCATTGTCAAAAGAAATCCACTTGCTGTGGGGAAAAGGAACCAGTGGCTGGTGAGGGAGAAGCCGACTGTCACACAGGAAGCTGAGGGTCTGACCCGAGGGGGTGTCTGGGAGAGGAGACAGGCTGGAAAGCAGTTTCGGAATATGTACTAGGTACTGTGACCTAGTGTTAAGGAGGTGAGGAGAGAGGGAGACATGGGCCGAGGTTCAGCTTTGGGCCAGTGTGTAGATAGAAGCTTCCCTCCCTGCACTCAGGAACGAAAGAGGAGGGCACTGGAGAGATAGTATAGTGGGTAAGGCACTTGCCTTGCACATGGCTTACCCAGATTTAATAGCTGGCACGACACAGGGTCCCTCAGCACTGCCAGGAATGATCCCTAAGCACAGAGACTGAAGTAAACCCAGACCACTGCTGGGTGTGCTCCCCCCACCAACAAACAGACAAAAACCTTTTTGGTATGACTTGCTGGTGGAAAGCAAACGTGCATCTCTTCCTGTGGTCCTAAAAGGGTCTCAAAAATGGTTTCTGGTCTGACAGGATCGCCCCAGCTATGCTGCGCCAGGCATCCTATGGCACCATCAAGATTGGCACCTACCAAAGCCTGAAGCGATTATTTGTGGAGCGGCTTGAAGGTGCGTGATTGTTTTCCGTTTGTGACAGAGGGGAGTGGCTTGTTTTCTTTGTCAAGGGGTCCCGGGGCAGATCTTCCACAGCTTATTTTTACTTTACTCCTGGGCTGGAGCGATAGCACAGCAGGTAGGGCGTTTCCCTTGCATGCGGCCGACCGGGCCGACCCGAGTTCGATTTCTTCACCTTCGATTCCTCCGCCCCTCTTGGAGAGCCCGGCAAGCAACCGAGAGTATCTTGCCCGCACGGCAAACCCTGGCAAACTCCCCGTGACGTATTCGATATGCCAAACACAGTAACAACAAGTCTCACGATGGAGACGTTACTGGGCCCACTCGAGCAAATCGATGAACAACGGGAGGACAGTGATAGTGACAGTGATTGGTGCTGAGGAAAACCTGGGTATAAAGTCTCAAAGAATTGTGCTTAATGCCAGTTCATCAGTGCTCAGCTGAAAGAAGCATTTTCTGATTTATGTAGTTGTCCACATTTCCAGGATCCCAGGAACAGAAGGACATGTTATATTCTAGTCAACTTAAAAATTGCTACATTCATAGGATCACTAACCTATTTTTCAGGAAATTAATGGTTGTATTTTTTTAATTATTTATTTATTTATTTATTTTTTGCTTTTTGGGTCACACCCGGTGATACACAGGGGTGACTCCTGACTCTGCACTCAGGAGTCACCCCTGGCAGTGCTCAGGGGACCTTATGGGATGCTGGGAATTGAACCCGGGTCAGCCGTGTACAAGGCAAACACCGTACCCGCCGTGCTATCTCTCCAGCCCCTGTATATTTTTTAGAATTAAGAATTCTGAGTTCCAACACTCCATTGTTGGTTGGCTCTGTGGCATTGCAGCTTTTTCTGTGATAGGAAGAGCACTGTTAGTAGGAGCTAAGATGCTGTGGAAGTACATAAAATTAAATATGCATGCATGAAGATAGACATCTTCTATCTGCATTCTATCAAATTAGGAGTGTATCTTTTTTTTTTATTCCAACCAAATATACTTTAATTACTACTTTGGTTCTCAAACACAAAAATTGACAGCTGGATATTCATTTTCTATGACCACCCATATTCCTTCTTAGATACCAAGAAATTTTGTTGGGTCTCACGGGATGGGGGGGAGGTGGAGCCGGGCCTGTCTTCCCTACCCCAATGAGACCCCAAGTCATCGCCCGCGAATGGCCTCTTTGGCTCCTCATCAAGCTGCTCAACGGCCATGATCCCAGAGACTCAGGAGCAGATCTCTAAACCCAGTGGCTTTTGGCAGAAATCCCTCCAGATTTAAGTGTTAAAATTTCAGAATTTCAAAACCACATGGCCCTACTGCAGCCACACGACATCATATGTTATTCATAACCAGCAATAGAACACAAATTGTCTATTGTTGCCTTTTCAGCAGATCTGAGTGTTGGGGTAAATCTCAAATAACAATGGTGGGCCTGGTGTCGAAATATTGAATGTGATCAAAGTAGAGAGAGAGAGAGTAACGTGGAGATCATCTGTCCCACAGGCAGGGGGAGGGTGTGGGATGGGGGTATACTGGGATTTTTGGTGGTGGAGAATGGGCACTGGTGAAGGTACGGGTGTTTCATTTTATGACTGAGACTTAGACCCAAAAGCTTTGTAACTGCTCTCACGGTGATTCAATAAATAAAATTATAAAAAATAGAAAAAGAAAAAACAAGTAAGGTGGAGTTCATGCACAATTCAATCAGCTAATCAGTGGCTGAATAAATAGCAGTACTCCTACAAAAAAAGAAAAAAAAATAGATACCAAGAAATTTTACTAAGCAAAATCCCTTTAGCCAGAAAAATTCTAATCCTTTTCAAAAATTACTTGATACACAAAACATGCATTTTATGATGAACAGTAGTATGCAAATGCTCTAAATCTGTTTGAGTTATTTATATTATGAATTCTGTATGTATGAAAAGTCAAATAACATGTCTTTGTTTACAGATGAAACCCTACTGATAAATGTGGTGTGTGGAATTCTCTCTGGAGTCATCTCCTCAACCATTGCTAATCCAACTGATGTTTTGAAAGTAAGCAGAGCTATTTTATCTTAGAGGTTTACCCCACAGCTTGTTATTGAGAACTATATTCAGATAATGAAAAATCAGTGTAACCAGTTTATGTAAGAATCTGTTTATGATTTGGTTGGCGGAGGCAGGACTGAGCTTTTTATTTTTGGCCTGGAACACACAAATGCAGGGTATGAGAACTGGAGGGATAGATAGTACAGCAGTTAGGTACCTGTGTGCAGCTGACCCCAGGTCAGTCATAAGCAACCCCATGGTTCCCTGAGCAGTGATTTCTGAATATATAGCCAGGAGTAGCCACTTAACATTACCAGGTGTGACTTCTCAAAAACCCCAGCCCCCTCTCCCTGCCCCAAGAAAAAAAAAAAAAATAAACAAGCCCACATGCAGGGCATGGACTCTATAGGTGAGTTTCATCCCTAATTCCTAATCTATTTATAATCTAATTGCCACAGGACTCCCTTTTTTTGTTTCGTTTTGTTTTGAGGCTATACCCAGTGGTGCTTAGGGATTATTCCTGGGTCTTTGATCAGGAATTACTCCTGGTGATTCTTAGGGGACCATATGGGATGCCAGGGATATAACCCAGGTCAGCCACGTCGGTGACTATTTCTGGGCATCTCATGTTATCTATTACTTTGATTTCAGGACAAGCTAGTGAAAGTATGTATGTACCACAAGTAGACTTAGTTTAAGGACACTCTTGAATACCAGGGATACAGTCTCAAGTCCTTTGTAGAATAAGGGAAGCCAATAATGAAATATGATGAGAATTAGTTATGGTTTAATTTTTGAATCCTCTCGCATGCCTGCCCTCTCCCTTGAACCCCACTATTTAAGTTGCGTGCACTGTGCTCTTTCTTTGCTTGTTGATGTGCCACATGCTTCGGATCCAAAGACCGCTCTTCTCCCCCTCCCCCTGGGGAACCGTCAGCCTAATAGAAGGTTCTGGCAAGCCTTCAGTTTTAGGACTCCAGAGGCAAAGAACCCACCTTGTAAGTGTGAGGCCGGGAGTTGGACCTTAAAACATCCTCAAAAGCCACAAATGTAAATCAGGATATTTGAGAATCCTCAGCACCACAGCCAGGTGTGTGCCAGCAATGCTATGTGGGACCCCTGGCAGGCATCATAACACAAAATTCTGGGCACTGCCAGCAAGAGCTTATGACTCCTGGTCATAGAAACGGCAACATAAAGGACTGGGATGCAGAAAGGGGGAATAAAAAAATAATTATGGTAGTAATAACTATTAAGGGAGCTGTGTATGTTGAGGCACTTACAATGTGCATGTTGAAAGCATGGCATGTACCAGGATGTTCTTGTCTTGTGTTCACCTGTGTTGGGATAAGATTGCTAGAGAAAAGGATCTGTGTTCCTGCTTATCTCTTAAAAGTCCGTCAGGAGACAGAGAGATAGGTAGTACAGTGGGTAAAGCAGTTGCAGCCAAACAGGTTGGGTCTCTAACACTACATACGGTCCCCCAAGCTCTGCCAGAAGTGATCCCTGAGCACTACTGGGTGTGGCCCCCCAAAAGAATGTCAGGGGAGATGTTCAGGGGTGCATACCTTGCCTGTACAAGGACCTAGTTCAGTCGCAGCACTGCATGACTCCTGAGCATGGCTGGGTGTAAACCTGGAGGGCCCCAGCCCCAACACATTGCTATGCACCAGCATTGCAGTGGCATGTTGCGTATCACCGGTGTGATCCCTGGAACCCTGAGCAGGCTTGGGACAGGCAAATCACCCTCTACCTCCTAAAAATATGGGGACTTTTTGTTTTGGGGTCACACCCAGCATTATTCAGGTGTTACTTCTGGCTCTGCACTCAGGAATCACTCCTGGTAATGCTCACAGGAGGTGTTAGAAATCAGACCTGGGCCAGCTGTGTGCAAGGCAGATATCTCACTCCCTGTACTATCGTTCTGACCCCAATGGGACTGTTTTTGAGAAATTTCTCTTCACTTAAAATAGTGCAGAGCTACATAAAATGCTGTTTTGATATTGGAGTCTTTGTTGTATGAATCCCATGACCCTTTGTCAAGTTTATGGTTAGTTTAGGTGTGAAAGAGTATGTGATAGGCACCCTGGGACCATGCTGGTGATTGACATTAGTTATTGTTTGGAGTAATTCACTTAAGAAATGCACTTGTCCCTACGTAGAGCTGCCAAGTACACTGAATATTCAGACTCATTGTGTTAAATCTTCAGAGTACTATCATAATCTGTTTTCTACCTAGTAACCTATACAGACATAGACCACTTTTTTTTAAGGCTATTAAAATTATATTTTGGGGTGAGGGTGTGTGTGGTTTGGGCTATACTCAGTGGTATTCAGGGATTACTCCTAGCTCTGCACTTAGGATTCACTTTTTTGGGGATCATATGGGTTGCCAGGAATGAAACTCAGATTGCTTGTGTACAAGGCAAGCACACCACCTGCTGTACTATTGCTCTGGCCCTTAAAATTATTTTTGATACTTAAATGTGCTGCTATATACAAAACTCTCTAGATTCTGCTGGAGGTGCTCAGGGATTACTTTTGGCTTTGCATTCAGGTGTTCAGGGATTACTCCTGGCAAGGTTGAGAGACCATATAGGGGCCAGGGATCAAATCCAGGTTGGCCTCCTGCAAGGCAAGTGCCCTACCCACTGTACTATTGCCCCCGCCATGCTAATGTTTTTCTAGTTGATGCCAAAGTACGTAAGAACCAGTCCCCAATGAGAACATTTATAACTAGCATTAAAAACTATTTATAGGTCAGAGTTGAGGATGTGGATGAGTGGTTAAGCAAGTGGTGGAACACATGCCTTCCAAGAGTGAAATCCTTGGTTTGATCCCCAACACCTTATGCCTTCCCATATTCCCTAAACACCACCACCAACAGTTCCTTGGGACAAAGTAAAATGATTTTTCCCATGCTGCCATTAATGAAAGAAGTGATTGAATGATTTTCCAAAGGCCTGAGGTGGAGGTGGGGAATCACTGGGCTAGTTTTCCTCATGGTGGTCTTTAAAATGATCTCCAGATACGGATGCAGGCACAGAGCAGCACCGTTCAAGGTGGAATGATTGGCAACTTCATCAACATTTACCAACAAGAGGGAACAAGAGGATTGTGGAAGGTAAGCTCGAAATAACAGATTCAGTGGGTTCCTTCATTCTTCCCTTCCCCCTGATGAATTTATTTTTCTATTTTCATCACTGTATGCGATCCAAATGGCATTAATGAAGCAAAGGAAGAAAAGTGGCATCTGTTACCAGAGAGATTGCTTCTTCCTTAATTTTCATGTCTATAAAATGAAAACAGCGAAAAGGCAATGTCGTGATTCTAAATAACTTCGTGATCCTTCAGATGTAAGAAGCTCTGTGAAGGATGAGCCCTTTTGATTGCTTTTAATTCTTTTGGAGGGGTCTTCCTCATGTTTACTGGATAACGAGCTTCAGGATTGTTTTTAATCCTTATTGAGATGGTTTCTTGGTCACAGTTGCACAGGATTTTGCAATTTGCATTTTTTTCATGGCTCTTAGTGTTAATAGGCAAGTGCTGCTGGTGACTCTGCCAGTCACTTGCCACTTGAAGGTCTTCCAGTACAATGCTGTCAGCGTGCAGAAGCAAATGGAAGGTTCTGAGGGGTGACTTGCCCTGGCCAAGTTCTGGCTATGTCAACCAGTGAGTGCCAGACTCAAGGTTAGACTTTGGGGCTTCTGACTTCTTGCCCTTTGGTCTTTTTGTTCCATCATTCTTCATCTCTGCCGACCAGCAGGAAAACAAGAAAGCTGGTCACTATCGTGGGGGCGAAGAACCACCACACATTGGCAAGCCTCATTCCATGGAGAGATAGCTGACCCCTGTGTCTTGTTCATTTTCTTCACAGGGCGTGTCTCTGACTGCTCAGAGGGCTGCTATTGTCGTTGGTGTGGAGCTCCCTGTCTATGATCTTACCAAGAAGCACCTCATTCTCTCGGGTCTGATGGGCGATACGGTGTATACCCATTTCCTGTATGTTGATGGATTTTATGTTAATTAATCTTACTAGGCGGTGCTCGAGTCCATTCCTGGCTCTGCACTCAGGGATCACTCCTGGTGGGATATCAGGGGACCGCAGGTGGCGTCAGGGGTCAAAACCAGTTGACCATATGCAAGGCAAGCACCTTAACTGCTGTACTGTCTCTCTGGCCTCATGAGTCCAAGTTCTAAGCTGAGGGACCATTTTTGATGAATGGTACTGATGAATAATCTATGAATAATCACACTTTTTGTTTTGCTTTCTTGGGCCACACCTGGTGGTATTCAGGAGCTACTCTCGGCACAGTGCCCAAGGACAGTTTGGTACTGGGGACAAAACCCAGGGCTCTCACATGCCAAGCATGGGCTCCAGCCCATTGACTTACCTCCACCTCCAGATTTCAAATATTGTTGACTACTGCAGATTAGAATGAATATATCACAGTTCAATCCATTGAAGAGCAGTTTTTCCTCCATTAGAGGGGCATTGGCCAGTTTGCAGAGACTGTTCTGATTGTTTAGAGTTGGGGAGTATGATGGCATCCTCTGAGAAGAAACCTGGGATGATGCCAACACATCTTACAATGTATAGTACAGATTGCCATAGCAAATATGGTCTGTGGTATTTCTATGGGAGAGAAAGTTTATAGAATTTTTTTTTTTTTTTTTTTTTTTTTGCTTTTTGGGTGACACCTGGTGATGCACAGGGGTTACTCCTGGCTCTGCACTCAGGAGTTACTCCTGGCGGTGCTCAGGGGACCGTATGGGATGCTGGGAATTGAACCTGGGTTGGCTGCGTGCAAGGCAAACGCCCTACCCGCTGTGCTATCTCTCCAGCCCCAGTGTATAGAATTTTTAATATTACAGTGGTTAGGGTACTTGTCTTGCATGCAGTCAACCCAGCTTCAATCCCTGGCATCCCATTTAGTCCCCTAAGCACTGCCAAGAGTTAATTCCTGAATGCAGAGTCTGCTCAAGCCCTGAGCACAGATGGGCATGACCCAGATACCAAAACCAACAAACAAATAAATAAAATAAGATAAAATTGCACTGGTATCTACTCTGCAGTTTATAGATCCCATAGATTAGCCTGCAAGGACATTCCATCATATCTCTGTAATTCTTTGACGATTAGAACATCAAAGGCATTCCTGGCTGTGGCTGGAATTTATAAGCCATTTATAAGAGCTGGTGGAGTTAGCGGCTGGGGAGACACCTTGAAGAATCATCACTTACCTTGCACGTGGAAGGCCTGATTTCAATCCCTGGCACCACCTTAATTCACCAAACACTGCTGGGAGCCACTCCTGAGCACTGAGCTTGGAGTAGCCCCAGAGCACTGCCAGGCGTGGCCTAGATACCTATTAAGAAAAGATGAATAGGAGGTAGGGGTGGGGAATGAAACTTTGGACAGCCTTGCTCCATAGGAACCTCATTTTTGATAGCTTTGCTCTCACCCCGTGTTCCTCTACTGCAGTCCTTGAGGAGGTGGCTTCCTGCCTTGACAGTGCTTGTGCAGCTCAGCTGTGGTGAACTTTTTCTTCTCCTTGCATCTTCTTCACAGGTCAAGTTTCACCTGTGGCCTTGCTGGGGCCCTGGCCTCCAACCCTGTCGATGTTGTGAGAACACGCATGATGAATCAGAGAGTCTTTCGGGATGGCAGAGGCTCTGGCTACACAGGGACCCTGGATTGCCTGTTACAGGTGAGAGTGTCTGCACTCAGGCGCATACCGTCTGGCATCCATAGACTTATGAGTTCTTTCTTCTGCCCATTAGCTTCCATGTTGCCCTCTGGAGGGTTTCTTTTTCTTTTCTTATCTTTTTTTTTTTTTCTTTGCACCAGGTAATGCTCAGGACTTACTAGTGGTGGGGCTCTAGGAACCATAGGAGATGCTGGGGATCCAACCTATTTTGACCATGTGCAAGGCATGTACCATCCCCATTGTACTAGCACTCTGGCCCCATCCACAGAGTGTCTTACCATGCTTAAAAGCATAGGGTTGGGACTAGGAAATAGACCACTGGCTGGAGTGCATGGTTTGCAAGTGGGAACCCTGTTTGATATACAGTATTTTATGGTCTCCCCAACTCTGCTGTGAATGGCCCCTTAGCACTTCTGTGTGGGCCCGCCCCTACCAAATAGCAATTAAAAGGTTAAAGCACAAGACAAACTTGTGGATTTATCATCTATTGTGTGTGGGTTGTTCCTGGTACATTGTTATACCTGTTTCTACCTCTTTTTTTTTTCTGTCTTTTTTTTTTTTTTTTGGCCTTTTGAGTCATACCTGGCAATGCCCAGGAGTTACTCCTGGCTCTGCACTCAGGAATTACTCCTGGAAGTGCTTGGGAGACTATCTGGGATGCAGGCATTGAACCCTGATCTGCTGCTTGCCAGGCAAACACCCTACCCACTGTACTTTCACTCTGACCCCTTCTTCTTTCCTTTTTTTAACTTTGTAATTTTTTGTTTTTGGAGGTGGGCTGGGGGATTTGGTCATACCAGGCTGCACTCAGAGATCACTCTGGAGGTGCTTGGGGGACCATATGGAATGCTGGGAATTGAACCCAGGTCAGTTGCATGCAAGACAAGCACCCTGCTACCTGCTATACTCTCTTGCCTCACAGATGAGGGATTTCTCTTTATCCATCTAACACCGTAAAATGATGGTGTTCAGGATGCTATCTTTATCTTCTAGCTCAATGTCATGGAGGCAAAAGCACTGTCGTGGGAATTAAATTTGATTCTTTCATCATTCAGCTATTGTCGTCTGCTTCATGTGGAGAGTTGCACAGCATGGAACCTTAGTTTTCACCAATGCAAAAGCCTTTAACAAACAAAAAGGGGCAGAGGGCAATGATTCTTTGTCATTCCAAACAGGAATTTATTTTATTTTAAAAGTTAATTGACTTACTTATAGGGGTTTGAGTCATATCTGGCAGTGCTCAGGACACTGTATGGTGCTAGACATTGAATCTGGCCCTCTCTCATGTAAAGCACGCCTGAGTCTGTTGAGCTACGCCTCCAGCCCCCATGATTTTATTCTTTTTGTTTTTGTTTTGTTTAGTTTTTGGTTCATACCTGATTATGCTTAGGGGCTATTTGTGGCTTTGCCAAAAGTACAGCCAGTGTCAATCCAAAAAGCAAAAAGTGAAAAAGTTGATCAATTCAGTTGGCTATTCATTCTTTGAAATAATTAGGAAAACTGAGAGTAATTTTTTCCTTTCTCTTATAACAGACATGGAAGAATGAAGGGTTTTTTGCTCTGTACAAAGGGTTTTGGCCAAATTGGTTGAGACTTGGCCCTTGGAATATCATTGTATCCTTTTCTGTTACCGAAAGCTAAAAAAAAAAAAAGTAGCTGAAAGAATAGTGTTTATAAACTGCCATACTCTTAATTATAATTTAGAGATATTATTTTTATTCCTCTGATAAGTAAATATTCAGGTTTTTTTAAAGGAGGTATAAAATCTCAATGCTAGGCCCGGTAAGTTTTGGTATAATGATGGTGTTGTGAAAAGGTAATGACAGCAATAAAATTTTTTGCTCATATACTGTTTTAGAAGCTGAGAGTATTTATGGTTTCATAGTGATGAAGATTAATCTTAGATCCCTTGCCACCCTTTGTAAGGGTATACTTGAAGATTGCGCTCTAGACACTAATTTTATTTTCAAACTCATTTTATTCATTTATTTTAATTAATTAAAAATAGACATTGTGCTTATAAAGTTATTTCTAATAGATTTTTAGGCATAAAATGTGAATACCTTATTTAATTTAGTTTTGGTTTTGGGGACACACTCAGGCAGTGCTCAGGGGTACTCCTGGCTCTCTTCTCAGGAATCACTCAAGGTGGCGCTTTAGGAACTATAAGGGATGCGCAGGATTGAAACCGCGTCAGCTGCATGCAAGGCAAATGACTACCTACTGCTTGACCTTACTGTAGAGTGTGCCTACATTAGTCTGTGCCATCGTGTGGCTGCTCTGTATGACTTCCAGTATGCCAGGATGAAAGGCAGAAAAGAACGGGCCACTCACTCAGCGTGCGAGAGCAGCTTTGAAGGAGGGGGATGCCAGGGTTCAACATCCTCTTCTCTCCTGTTATCTGCGTCCTTCCCCTAAGGAAGAGCCGCCCAGAGAAACCCAGGAGGACAGCCTCCCCCAGCTTCCTGTTTCCCATAGAACCGACTGTTCTGGAAAGCAGTCCTCCCCCTCAGCAAAGCCACACGAGCAAGGCAGCGGGGTTGGCATTTGCGAGGGGCTCTGGGGTTGACGCACTCAGCTGTGATCTTTCTGTTCTCAGTTTGCCATGCTTCTGGGGGAAGTTTCCTGGGGGAGGCTGCAGATGGAACCCCTCAGATACTTACATCCATAGTGTGTGGTCTCACCAGATAAATGCAGGTTGTTAGCAGAAGTGATTTTGGTGGGTCCAGTTTATCTGTCGGGTGGTTCTGGTTTTATTTGTTACAGTTTTTGTCAGCCTTAATCACCAACTACAGTTCTTCGTGACATACGAGCAGTTGAAGAAACTGGATTTGTGACAAGTCAAGACGGCACTGAGCCAATCCTCTGGGAAATGCTCACTTTTGGCCCAGTGACACTCCCTGCGTTTCATATGCTTCTCACTGCTTGTCTGGTCAGATTTCGGAGGTGTGAGCCACAGAAGGAGACGGGGTTAGTGCCAATGGCCGTGTGCAAGTTTGGGACCTGGCAGCCAAGGCCTGGCAGCATCACCCTCACATCCAGGCTCTCATCCTGACCGTTAAAGTGCCCTTCAGCATCAGAGATTGCATGTGAACTGCATGCTTCCTTCTTACTGAAGAAAACTCGCCAGAAAATTGGAAGCCGTGCTTCGTTGACTCCCAAGGAGAGCAGAGCCTCACCCGTCTCACAGTGCTGTTGAGAATCCTCAAGACTGTCCGGAAAGAGTCGACCCGAGTAAACCCAGAGTATTAGTGTTCTCTCACTGGCAGGGACCTTTGCTTCTTGTTAGCTGGATAGATCATAACATTTTCATCTTATAGGAGAGGGATCCCTGAAACCTTTCACTGCTTCAGTTTCCTAATGGGGCAGGATTTGAGAAACCACTTCCCAGTTTTTAATTTGGAATACAGTTGTTAAAATATTTCTTACCTCAGACTTCCTAGTTAATGAAGATGGAAAATATTTGCTTATTTGTACAAACCATTTCTTCAGTAGATCTGTTTATCCAGTTTCTTTTTTTTGGTTTTGTTTTGGGACCACACCTAGACATGTTCAAGGGTTACTCCTGGCTCTACACTTAGAAATTACTGGCAGTGTTTGGGGCCACAATATGGGAAACTGGGGATCGGCCACGTGCAAGAAAAACACCCTACCCACTGTACTATATCTCTGGCCCCAGTTCCCGATAGGAGGAATATAACATCTTCCCTTTCCTCTGGAGACAAGTCATTTTCCTTCTTTCGTGTGTTCCTTTTACTCTTTTCTCTTTTCAGAATTAAAAAATACCACCCAGAATCCCTAGTAATTTAACGTTTAGAAAAACTGCCCTTCTCCCCCACAATGGGTTAACTTGGGTACCTTCTATCTTATCCTTAGAGCAGTGTGAAATACCTACTAAGTGGGGCTCCAAGGAAGTTGCGTCTGTAGGTTTTTTTTTTTTTTGGTGCCACAACTGGTAGTGCTCAGGGCTTACTCCTGGCTTTGCACTCGGGGATCAAACCTGGGGGACTCTGGGAACCATATGAGGTGCCAGGAATCAAACCAGGGTCTTCCACGTGCCTGCCTGCTATACCATCGCTCTGGCTTCACCTCTGTAGTTTCAAGTGGGTAAATTCCTGATTTGGGGGCAGGAAATAAAGTCTAAGGGTTAAGGCATTTGCCTTGCCAGTTCCTGTTCAATCTCTGGCATGATGGTATTCCCAAACACCACCAGGGATTACTCCTGAATATAGTGCCAGGAATAGTTCCTGAGCACAGCCAAGTCAGGCACCAAACTGCCCCACACTTCCAGTGTCCTCCCCTTCATATATATATATATGTATATATATATATGTATATATATTATATATACTAGTTTGTTTAGTTCTTAGACTTGTTGCCCTCTGAAGCCAAATGGAAGGAATATAAGTGTTTAGAGAGGTATTTTCTTCCCAGTGACTTCCACCTTGCCTTCTTTATTAAGGTTTACTTTGAAAAAGATTTTGAAACAGAATGTTATTTCCAGAAGATAAGAGATGATGGGCTAGGGAGATAGTTCAGTGCAAGCCTGAGTGTGTGTGGCCCCGAGTTTGATCCCTGGCTCCCCCAGACTCCTAGCGTAGGTAGCCCTGGTGGCCCACAGCACTGCCAGGCCCAAGTGGCGTTTCATGGTTGGATCCAAGTGTTGCCAGGAGTGGCCCTGAATCCCCAAGCAATGCTGAGGAGTGCCCGAAAGCAAATCAAATCAGATAATAAAATGAGAAAAGAAGGTAGCATGGCAGGGTGACAAGAGGCTGTGAGTTGTTCCCTGGCTAAGATGGAAGTCCAGACCCTCCCACACCCATTTCAGATGTGAAGCTGAGAGCTAAGCTGTACCAGATCCTTGGAGAGGAATTGTGTTTCTGCTTACCAGAACATTCCTTTGATGTGATAAGGACTGTCTGTTGAAAGATTTTCAGTTCTGTTTTTTTAGTTTTTTTTTATTTTGGTTTTTAATCTAGAAAATAATTCATGTTAAAATATATCCATCACTTTTAAAACAGTAGAAGTAAGTTCACTTTGAGAAGTAGTGAATGTCACACAATATTCATCATACCAGCTTACTAAAGTTTTGTACATGTTCATACCAGGATGAATAGAAATTTCAAACTCCACTCTAAAACACAAGTATGTTTTGTGGCCATGGGGACTTGCTCAGGCTTTGCAATGTGGGAGATCTAGGTTTCATCCCCAGTAGTGCAGGACTGCCCATGTACCAAGCCAGGAGTACCCCAAGCACCACTGGGTGTGACCCCAATCATATTAGAGAAGTAACAGGTTATGGTAGGTGCAACCAACCCAGGTTTGACCCCCCAGCATCACATGTTCTCTGACATCACTGGTGTATCCCTTGGGGGGGTCCCTAGCACTTTTGGGGTGACCTAGGAGGTCCCTGGCATTTCAGCATACAATTCTCAGGGCCCCTAGCACTGCAGGGTGTAGCCCTGAAGGGCTCCCCACCATAGCTGGGAGTGGCCCTGAGGGCCCCTATCATTGCTGGTTGCCCTGGAGGCACCCAGCACTGTAGGATGTGGCCCTGGGGTCCCCCATCACTGCTGGGTGTGGCCCTAGAGGCCTGGCACTGTGGAATATAGCCCTGGGGGTTCCTATCACTGCTGGGTGTGGCCCTGGAGGCCCCCAGCACTGTGGGTTGTGGCCCTGGGGGCCCCATCAAAAATTGCTGGGTGTGGCCCTGAGGGCCCCCATTACTGCTGGGTGTGGCCCTGGAGGCTCCATCACTGCTGGGTGTGGCCCTGAGGGCCCCTATCACTGCTGGGTATGGCCCTGGAGGCCCCCAGCATTGTGGGTTGTGGCCCTGGGGGCCCAATCACTGCTGGGTGTGGCTCTGAGGACCCCCATCATTGCTGGGTATAACCCTGGGGCCCCCATCACTGCTGGGTATGGCCCTGGAGGCCCCCAGCACTGTGGGTTGTGGCCCTGGGGGCCCCATCGCTGCTGGGTGTGGCCCTGGAGGCCCCCAGCATTGTGGGTTGTGGCCCTGGGGGCCCCATCACTGCTGGGTGTGGCCCTGGAGGCCCCCAGCATTGTGGGCTGTGGCCCTGGGGGCCCAATCACTGCTGGGTGTGGCCCTGAGGACCCCCATCATTGCTGGGTATAACCCTGGGGCCTCCATCACTTCTGGGGGGTGGCCTTGGGGGCCCCCAGCACCACTGTGCCCTTGCAGCAACAAATCCTTGGATCCAAGCATTCAGCCACTGACCATTTGGTTGAGTAGCACCAGGAAGGGCCACTGGTTTCCTTAGCATCGCTTGGGATACCCTCACCTGCCTCCCCCTCCCCCTCCCCCAAACATTCAGCAAAAGGTGTTTTAAAGACAACTAGACAATTTCTTCTATGTAAAGTTTTCATTTGTTTGTTTTTGGGGCCACACCCGACAATGCGCAGTGGTAATTCCTGGCTCTGCACTCAGGAATTAGTCCTGGCAGTGCTCTCTGGACCATATGGGATTCCTGGGTTCGAACCAGGATTGGCCTTGTGCAGGACAAGCCCCCTACCTACTGTACCATTGCTCTAGCGCTCTTCTATGTTGATTTAACAAACACTTGTATAACAGAGTTTCAGTCTGTGTAGGTTCTTTTGCTCCTTGAAAGAGTTAATGTGATTATTGAAGCTATAACCAAGAAGTAATGTAAGGAGTTGGGCGACCTGGTTCCCTTGTTTTGGAATGGTGTCTCCACATCCTTCCATCCCCTTGCAGTATAACTAAAGCATAGCAAAAGGGTTTTTAGTTTTTTATAACCACACGAAGAAAATGGATTTCTCATTTACTGGTGGATTTACATAGTCAGTTATGCTGAATTTTGCTGATCTGTGATATAAATAATAGCCCTATTTTCCATATTAATTCATGTGCTGGAAATATTATATAGTCTGTAAAAACAATAAATTTTCCATAAGCCTTTATATTTTGAACTCTTTATTTAAACACTGTTGGATGTGGTGGCTTAAATCTTGTTTCATTATTTAATAGACTGGAGTAATATATAATAATAAACATGATTTGTATTTCTTTCAGATAAAGGAAAATGTTTAAACAAAGACAAGCGCCTAAGAGCACAAAAGGCTATGTAGCAGTTAGGGAAGTGACTGAGGTCGTCCGACTTAGTTCCCACGGCAGATGTCCCAGTCTGGCTGCCCCAGCTCGTGTCAGAAAGATCTCTCATGGAAGCCATCAGCGAAACCTACCTAGAAATGTCCTGTGCCCTGCTTACGCTGCTCTCCCGCAAGTGCTCACCCCCGGCACCTCCCCCACTCCGCTCTCCACATCTGTCTCCCCTCTGCACCACTCATACCCACCCACCCTCTCAACTAGCACTGCCCTAAATAAAGCAAAAAAGAACTCTCCGAAAGAATTCATACCAGGCATATATTTAAAAACTGGAATCATTCAGTTAATAATCTCTTCAAAATTTACAAATCAAAATTAGGGACTGGAGAAATAGTACAAGCAAGCATTTGTTCACCTTGCATATGGTCAACCAAGGTTCCATTCCTGGCACCACAGAATGGTTACCTGATCACCACTCGGAATGATTTGTGAACGCAGAGCCAGAAGTAAGCCCAGAACCAGAAGTCAGCCCTGAGAATTGTTGGTGTGGCCCCAAACAAAAACAGAACAAACAGTGACAACCCGATGAGGGAAAACAAACATACTAGTCTGCCTTAACTCATTTCACTGTCCAGGGAGCCCCGTGGGGCTCCTAAGAAAGATCGAAAGGCTCCCAGCAGACCTTCCTCAGGGCTCCGCTGTGTCCCTATGACCAGTGTATTCTTGAATAAACTTACTGCTCTGCTCTTACTCTTTGATGAATTATTTTTCTGTCCTACCACTCAAGCCCCTGAGGATCTGAGTCTGAGTAGCCCCCTTGAGAGACTGCAACATCTCTGTCTGTGGGGTTACAGAATCATCTTACAGATTACCTGGGTACCGTGAGACTGACATGAGGTGAAATACTATGCAACCCAGTCCCAAACCAGGAAGTGTTTGAGGGTTGGCCTGGTAAGGGTCCCTGGACCTTTATCACCGTGAAGACATCAGAGTCTGAAGGTCTTGTGCTCCCTCAGTCTGCTGGCATATGGTGTTGGCTAGGGCTGGACCAGCAGATTGGTTTAAAATAACTGAAACTGAAACACTGTCCTCCTGTTGTTCATCGATTTGCTTGAGCGGGCCCAGTAATGTCTCCATTTTGAGACTTGTTACTGTGTTTGGCACATTGAAGACGTCACGGGTAGCTTGCCAGGCTTTGCCATGCGGGCGAGATACTCTCGGTAGCTTGTCGGGCTCATCAAGAGGGGCAGAGGAATTGAACCCGGCTTAGTCGGGCAGGCTGCATGCAAGGCAAACGCCCTACCTGCTGTGCTATCGCTCCAGCCCGCTCTAAAATAACAAGCGGATAAAAAGCAAACCTCGTTCATCATCATCATCATCATCACTTAAAAATACCTTTAGAACTAGAGGTTTTGGTTTAGTAGTTGGTTGAGGTGCTTACCTTGTATGTGTCTGGCCCAGATTAAATCTCCTGCTCCACATAGTGCCCTGAGCACTGCAGGAAATGACCCACTGAGCACAGAGCTGAGAGTAACTCCCAAGCACCACCAGGTATAGCTCATATAAATGTTTTTTTTAATTAAAAATTAGGGACCATGATTTACAAAGTCTTTATATAGGGTTTCAGAAATGTTCCCACCTCCAATTCTACCATCTTCTGTCCCCATCCTTCCACCAATGAACCCCAGATTTCTTTCCACTGTTTTTTTTTCTTCAAATAAGTCTTGAGGGGCTGGAGAGATAGTACAGGGGTAAGCCTTGCATGTGACTGGTCCTAGTTCAATCCCTGGTCTCCCGAGCACTGCTGGATGTTGCTCTCTGGTCTGGGAATCATTTTTGAGAGGGCACTCGACTCTGCTCAGGACTCACTCCTGGCTCTGCACTCAGGGATCACTTCTGGTCTACATGGGGGACCCCATGCAGTGCTGGCATCAAACCTGGGTCATGCTACATGCAAGGCAAGCTCCCTACTTGCTGTGGCCCCAATCTGGAAATCTTTTTTTTTTTCTTTTTGGGTCACAACCAGCGATGTTCAGGGTTCTTCCTGGCTCTGCACTCAGGAATTATTCCTGGCGATGCTAGGGGGACCATCTAGGATGCCAAGGATCATTGCTGGGTTGGTTGCATGCAAGGCAAATGCCCTACCTGCTGTAGTGTTGCTCTGGCCCTCAAATCCAGAAATATTTATTTATTTTGGTTTTTTGGGTTATAACCTGTGATGCTCAGGGGTTACTCCTGGCTCTGCACTCAGACATTACTCCTGGCGTCACTCAGGGGACCCTATGGGATGTTGGGGATTGAACCCAGGTTGGCCGTATGCAGGGCAAAAGCCCTCCTTGCTATACTATTGCTCCAGACCCCAATCTAGAAATATTAATGAAAATGATGGAACTAAGAGCAAAAAGCTGTAAGTCGTTGTGTGTGTGTGTGTGTGTGTGTGTGTGTGTGTGTGTGTGTGTGCCTCTTAGATCATAATTTGGGCAATTGTTTACCATGTGCTCAGTAGAACAGTTAGATGTGGAAAGATATCCAGCAAGTATTATGAAATATGTAAAAGCTGAGATGTGGATTCCTGAAGTGCATGCCTGAACTTTGGGTGGGGGAAAGCATTTGCTTCTCTAAGTGAGAATGGATTTAAAGGTGGGTATCAGGGTTCCCCAGAGCAACAGCTAACAGGATGGCGTGTGTGGATAGGATGTTTCTTTCATGATAGGGACAGACAGGTTTGGTCAGCAGGACAGGAAATGCTGGACTCACAGGACTGGCCCCTGATTTGTTTTCTCTCTGAGCTTTTTGTCCTCATTTCCTGCATGATTACTTTCTTTTGTGTTTAATTGATTTGGGGTACAGTGATTATGCTTAAATTTCTTTTCTCATTTCCTTTTGTATGTACTTTGTGGCAGTTTTCTTTATGGTACCACAGGGATTCTATATAACATTCTAAAATTGTTACACTCGCTTTTGAATGTATAGCAGCTAAGCACCAATAAAGTATACAAACTTGGGTTCTTTAGAGCTCTGACCCTAGCTCTTCTGGTGTTCGAAGTCACAGAACTCCAATTTGTATAGGGTTCTTTTATTTTTTTTCAAATCACGAAATAATGGGGCAGGAGAGATGGCCTTGCCTTAGATCCCTGACATCCCATTTGGTCACCCAAGCACTTCCAGGAGTGATCCCTGAGTACAGTGTCAGGAATAAGCTCTGAAGCCCTGAGTACTGCTGGGTGTGGCCCCCAAACAAACAAAACCCCAAACTAACAATTGTTTACCATGCATTGGGCTGGGGTTGGCGAGAGGGAGCTCAAAGGGCTGGAGCACATATAAGGCAAGCGCCAACTCCTTTGCATGCAGGAGCCCTGGGTTGGATCCCTGACACCCTGTGCTTCCCCACACACCAAGCTGGAAATAGCCCTCTGCCCACTACTGGGCACATGCCCTCCTGCAAAACAAGCAAACAAAAGCGCCACTAAAAATTCATTAGTGCTTCCCCCAGCCCCCCTTAATTAATTTTCCCTTCCCTCTACTGACATCTTTGTGATGGCCAACTCTGGCCTGACTGTGGCACGCAGCAGGGGCTACATACCAGACTGTGCTGCTCACACACCTGCCAGGGCTCATGCTGCTCCAGTGGTTTCACTGCCAGGGGCCATGCTCTTTCCATGATACTTGGGTATATCCTGGTTGTAGTGCTGGCTGGGGTGTGGGGCAGGGGGCGGCGGCATTGCACACTGGCACTCACACACTTGCTTACCTGGGAATCGAACTACTGTGATGTTTGCATATCTTTCCGGGGAGAGTTAAGCTCAGGAACCACTCCTGGAAGGTCCTCCATGGACCACACGGGGTGCTGGGAACTGAACTCAGGTGCATACAACACAAGCACCTTACCCCGTACTATTTCTTCAACTCCCTGAGGGCCAATTTGGAGTAGGGTCCAGGCAAGAGGTCTGACTAGTCCAAGCCTGAGGGGAATTGTTCCCAGATATGGTGCGTCCACCTAAAACACCAAGGCAAAGGAAGTCCCAAGACGAAGAACTTGGGGTTTCCTTTTCCTGTTTCCTTTCATTGGGCAGTGCCAGGGATCAAACCCAGGTTTTATGTGCTTTACCCAAGAAGTCACGCTCTGACCCCCTGAGTTTTCAGGCTTTCCTCTACTCTACTCTTCAGCCTCATGATTTGCCATTTTCAACCTTCATCTCCAAGTTCCAGACATATTGCAGACCTTTGACTGGAACTTGATCTCAGGACCTCACACATGCAAGGCGAGTGTTCTGTTGATGAATTACATCTCTGGCCCAATTTAAACAGTTTATTATTTGCTTTGTTTTGTTTGGAAGTCACATCTGGCATGCTTGGATGTTACTTCTGGCTCTGTGCCCAGAATGGTTCCCAGGGGTATTTGGAACATTTTGTGCCAGTGCTGGAACCCGGGGCCCTTGCACGCAAACTGTGTGCTCCACCCCTTTGAGCCAGCTCCCCACCTACAGAATAAACATTTTCAATTATTAGCAGGCCACCAAACAAATTTGCCACAGTGCTAGGTTTAATGTTTTTCAAATGCTTGTCAGTGTTATCTGAACATCGTTGTACATAAAGCCTTTTTAAAAAAAACTAAGATCACCCATTTTTGAAAGAATCTTAAAAGGTGTTTTAAAAAGCACTTTAAAGCGACTTGTCACCCAAAAGAAGAGAGAGAGAGCAAGGGGGAATGCCCTGCCACAGCGGCAGGGTGGGACGGGGGGGATGGCCGGGGAAGGGATGCTGGGACCCGTGGTGGTGGAGGATGGGCACTGGTGGAGGGATGGGTACTTGATCATTGTATAACTGAAACCCAAGCACAAAAAATTATAGGTCTATAACTGTACCTCATGGTGTTTCACTAATAAAAAAATTAAAAAACAAAACAAAACAAAACAAAACAACAACAAAAAAATAAAGCGACTTGTCTATTTCCACAGCCTTGGGTGACTGTGGCTCAGCAAGAGCCACCAGGGGGCGCCCCGAGCGTAGCACAGTGCTGGCGCTTGCAAAGGGCCAGGGGCTGGAGCACAGAGACGGCAGGCAGGCATCCCTGGCACTGAGGCCGGTAGTCTTGCCAAGCTCACACCTTGGTATGGAAGTAAGCTAAAGTTATAATTTTTCTCTTCTGCTCTGTGTAGGGTAATCAGCTAAACTCCACACAGTGATTCAGCATCCATTCTTAGCTTTTTTACCTCTTGTTAGCTATTATTATGCTAAACTTAAAGATGATTTTAAATTTTATTCACTGCATATTTATAGATTGGAATTCTGAGGAATAGAGTTTCCCCCTCCTCCATTAATTTATGCAAAGGGTGTGTATCAGTGTGGTCTCGGGTGTTTAATTTCATAAGGTCAAAATACAATACAATACTATCATTTTGCTATAGAAAATGACAGCATGATTTAAATGACAGATTACATACTTAGGTCATGAAAATTTTTTTGGGGGGTGGTGATGGTGGAAGGATGGCACACCCAGAGGTGCTCAGGGTTTATTCCTGACTCTGTCCTCATCATCATTCTTGATGGTGCTGGGGATAAAACCCGGGTATTCCTAATGCAAGTCAAGTGCCTTACCTACTGTACTGTCTCTCTAGCTCCAGCCACAAATTTTTGATTCAATTTTTCAATGTTGGATATTGGGTTATTTCCACTATTTACTATTAATGATGTTTCATGGACTATATAATTTTTTTGGGGGGGAGGGGCTCGGGCAACACTGTGAGATGCTCAGAGGTTACTCTGGCCGGGTGATCCAGCAGCTGTTCCCTGTGGTTGCTGGGGGACCATGAAGAGGCAGGTAGCTAACCAGGTTCTGGCAGGCAATGCAACGGGCTTTGTTAGATCCCAGGCTTAACCAACTCTTTGAATTTTTATGTATTTTTGTATTTTAATCTTTAAGAGGGGTGGCGTTTACTGAATGTCAGATAAATTTGTATCCCTGGTTTTGTTCTAGGCAGCATATATAACTGTTCACATATGTGAGCAACCCACCAGATGCAGGATTCAACACGACTACGTACACGTCTTAACAAAAAGTGTATTCAGTCTTCACACAATATACTATCATGAAATGTTATTATGCCATATAAATAAAACATACCATTGCATTGAGGTTCTTTCTCACACATAGTCCTCAGTGTTGGTCTCTGAGGGAGGTGACACGAAATATCTCAAAGCTCTCAAACCCGGGTAATAAGGGTTCCAAAGTCAGCCATATCCGAATCTGGCTAGGAGAGAGAAGTCCCTGGATGCTCAGTGATGGCTGGAGGTGTGCTGAAGTGATTTGTCAGAAGAACGGTCCTAATTCACCTGGCATTTTAGCAATAAGGGGGTGGTCACCAAAGTATTTTGATTGGTCACACCCACTGCAGAATTTCCAAAGTTCACAGAACTGGCTACACCTGGGTGTAGTTTCAATGGCCAGCTCTCACCCCCACACCCCATCGTCATCACTCTTAACGTGAGTTCCCTCATTTTGTTTTTGCACATTCTAGACCCTCATCAACAAACGAGCGCAGAAAGCACAGTCCACACGTTGCTCCGCACAGACCACCGAGCTGCTGCAGAACTGGCTCGCTAAGGCCCCTTGCGGAGGGATCAGGTTCACAACTGTCCATAATCTGAACAACACGATACAATAAAGTTATTGAAGTTGAGGAAAAGACTTCCGGTAGGGGCATACCAATTTCCGTTCGCGGGCTCTACTTCAACATTGGGGCCGGAAGTACTCGTCGCGGGTTTAAAGCCACGTCAGGCCTGGCTCTGGGCCCCGCCCCCGGATCGTAGAAGTATTTCCGGGGTCAAGCTATTCCGGTCCGCCCCACCCGGACGCGGTGCCGCGCTGGAAGCCACGGTCCTCCCGGAAGTGGCCCGGACCTCTCGGTCGGGGTCCCCAGCGCACGGCTCTCGCCGTGGGCCCCGGGCGCGGCGGCGTTGGCGATGGCGGAGCCGGCGCTGCTGCTGCCGTCCGAGACGGCGGCGGAGCGGGACGCTCGGGAGAAGCTCGTTTTCTGGGATCGGAGACCGGACACGAAGGCGCCTCTGACCGACAGGCAGAGGGACTCGGTGCTGGAGCTGAAGGCGGCGGCGGAGAACCTGCCGGTGCCCATCGAGGTGAGGTGGCGAACGGGGGTGGGGGTGCTCCGCGCGCGCCCGCGCCTCTTCTCCGCTCCCGGGGCACGGTGTGAGTGAGGGGCGCCCTTGGTGGGGGGCGGTCCCGCCCCTTCCCGGGCTGTCAGGCCTGGTCCCGCCGCCCCCGCCGCCCCCCGCCCTCCTCCTGGGGCCGCGGGCCACGGTTAGGCCCGAGAGCCCTGCCTGGCTCTGTAGCTCCCGGTGCCTTGTGCAGCACGACCCTCCCGGGCGAGCAGGCGGGCGAGGGCGCCGACCCCGGGGGTGGGGGGCGGGGGCCTGGGCTGCAGGCCTGCAGGGCTGTAGGGTTGCAGGGTTGCAGGGCAGCAGCCCCTGGGCGTTTGCTGACGGCCTCAGTGAATACCTGACCCAACTTTTTCCTCTTGCACTGGCGCCCAGGGCAGAGCCAGAAACCCGAAACCCGAGGGATGATTTCATTCATCCCCCGGGCCAGGCCCGGAGCTCGCGACCCAGGGCGGGCAGGTTCCGGGAGAGGAGATCGGTGTGCTCCCTCGCAGAGCGCCCATCGCGAGCCTTCTTTGAAAGCCGGCTCAGCCTACTATTAGGGGAGGGAGGGCCTGCAAAAAATTTTTTTTTAAACTTTATTTTTATTTTATTATTGTTTTTAAAAGCTCGGATTACCATTAGGATGTTAATGCAGGTGATCGCGTGCGATTCGTTTCGGTCAGAGAAGTAAGCTTGCGAGGTTCGGGGGTCCCACGGGACTTCCTGTGTTCTTGAAGGCCAAGGGTGAGCGGGATCCTTTCATGGGCCGCGGTGGGCACTCCTGGTCTTGGGCAGCGTTCTTCGTGAGCCGTTTGGGAGTGTGGCGGAAAGCAGAGAGAGGTGAGAAGTGCCGCGATTGGCAAGTTTTCTTCACTGTGCCAGAGAACTAGGGGATTCTTTCCAGGCTAGCCCTGTTCCCCTCTGGGATGCCGGGTTCCCCTGAGCCTGAAGCCAGTGAGGAAGCGGGTGGGCGTTCCTACGGCTTGACTTGTGTGCCCCTGGCTAATGGCAGTTGTTTGCTCTGTGATTATAACATTGTGCTTCTCTCCGATTGGGCCGATGACCCGTAGCAGGATGCTCTAGACATCCCCGGCACCTGTTTCTCCGAAGAGAGAACTCCAAGAAAAGTAACCTGACTCGCTCTTTACTGTCTTGGGCCATAATGGGATTCTTTTTAGTCTGTTTGGTTTTGTGTTTTAGGACCATATCCTAGAGGTGCTCAGGGCTAACTTCTGACTCTGCACTCCTGGGGGTGCTCCGGGTTGGGGGCTGGGGTGCTAGGGATGGGACCTGGGTGATAGAGTGTAAGGCAAGTGCCCTGCCTGCTGTGCTATCTGTCCAGCCCCAGAAATTTGTTTTACTGAGCACGGAGGAAAGGATTGGGAGGGAAGTAAGTGGAATCTTCCTTTTCACCCTGTTCCTTGACATTGATGCAATGTCACACCTACCATTTCTCTTATGCAGTCATCTAATGTGTGCCTTCTGTGGGCCAGGAATTAAGGCTAAACAAATAAGACAAGATCTCTATAGCCTCGTGGTGCTGACATAATTGTGGTGATCAGAGCATGTTAAAAAGGGACAAAGTGGGCTAAGTTCAGAGGGTACTTCATGATAATAAAGCAGGTGAAACAGGATAGATAGGAATGAGCTGTGTCCTTTAATTTTGATTTTTTTTTGTCTTTTTGGTCACACCCAGTGATGCTCAGGGATTACTCCTGGCTCTGCACTCAGAAACCACACCTGATGGTACTCAGTGGACCATAATGGGATACTAGGGATCAAACCCTGGGCAGCCGCGTGCAAAGAAAAAGCCCTTCCCCCTGTATTGTTGCTCTGGCCCCCTAGCTGTGTCCTTTTAAATAAGGAGGGAAGGTCTTTCCAAGAAAGTGACAGGCTAAGGTGAGAACTCCGTGGAAAAAGAGAAGCCATCTTGCGCAACTAGTGAACATTTCACTGGAGGGAAAAGCAGTGCTCGGTCATAGGTGGAAGATGAACTTGACATGTTTGAAGATTCCACGAGGGTCTTCCGGACATGTAGCTTTGGTTTTGGATTTTTGTGAAAATGAAATAGCCATTTGTATATCCGTCTTGGAACCTTTACAATTACTTTTTATTTATTTATTTTTTTGCTTTTTGGGTCACACCTGGTGATGCACAGGGGTTCCTCCTGGCTCATGCACTCAGGAATTACTCCTGGCAGTGCTTGGGGGACCATATGGGATGCTGGGAATCGAACCCGGGTCGGCCGCGTGCAAGGCAAACGCCCTACCTACTGTGCTATTGCTCCAGCCCCCTAAAATTACTTTTTTGTTTGTTTTTTTGGACCACACCCAGCAGTGCTTAGGGGTTACTCCTGGCTTTGCACCAAGGAATCAACTCCTGACAGGCTCTGTGGGATGCTGGGAATTGAACGCGGGTCGCTAAGCACCTTACCTGCTGTACTATCTCCCCAGCCCCCTAAAGTGACTTTTTCATTGCTTTTTAATTCCCTTCAGTCCTCATTTCCTTTTGCCGAAGTATTTTCCTTTTGTTTGGTGGGAAGACTTTGGAAATGAAATATCTTTTAAATGTATCTTTTCAATGTAATGGTAGTAAAGTTTTATTTTTGGGGGGCCAGATATTGGGCTACACCTGGCTATGCTCAGGCCTTACTCCTGGTTTCATGCTCAAGTATCATTCCTGGTGGGGTTCTGGAACCATAGGTGATGTCAGTGATTGAATCAGGTTCTGACATACTGAAGGCAAGTGTCTTACTATTTCTCAGGCCTGAAATTGAATGTTTTATCCATGTTACCACTTTTGAGGTCAGGAGCCATAGCATCGTGTGGGTGGAGCGTTTGCCTTGCACATGGCTGATCCAGGTTCAGTTCCTCCGCCCCTCTCGGAGAGCCTGGCAAGCAACCGAGAGTATCCCGCCCACATGGCAAAGCCTGGCAAGCTCCCCGTGACGCATTCTATTTGCCAAAAGCTGTAACAGCAAGTCTCACAATGGACACATTACTGGTGCCCGCTCGAGCAAAACGATGAACAACGGGAGGACAGTGACAGTGACCACTGTTGTAACATTAGTCCTGAAGAATAAAAGTTTCACTTTTTATTTTGTCCTGTAAGTATACTTAAAGAATATTCTCAGGGGGCCGGAGCGGTAGTACAGAGGGCAGGGCATTTGCCTTGCACACAGCCGACCCAGGTTCAATCTCCGGCATCCCATATGGTTCCCTGAACATCGCCAAGACTAATACCTGAGTGCAGAGCCAGGAGTAATCCCTGAGCATTGCTGGGTATGGCCCAAAAAGCCAAAAAAAAGGTTTTTTTTTCCTCATGTCCCACAATTCCCAGGAGCTAAATGAGTTCCTACATAATCTGACCAGTGAACTATGTGAATATCATAAAACTGTTAACTTTGGGAAATAACTTTCTCTTTTGAAGGAGAGCTTGTCTTATCTTGGTAAGAAGTTTTATGTTTTCCATTATTATTATTATTATTATTATTATTTTTAGTTAGAATTAGGTACACTGATTTATTGTAGCAAGGCAGATTTCCTATAGTGATGTTTTTCTTCCTCCTGAATTCAGTGATTTTTTTTTTTTGATGTTGTATTTCTTTCTCACACACAAAGGGAGTGCTCAGGGCGCCACTCCCTTTGGTGAGTGGGGACGACTTGGTGCCAAGGATCCAACACGGAACTTCCTGAATTCAGTGATTCTTGATAAGGTCGTGAAAGATTTCCTGGTTCTTTTTGTACAATTGCATGACTTTATATGTATTTAACTTCTCGGAACCTTCTTTATAAAATGGGGATTATAATATTTATTTCATGGGAAGTTATAAAAATTAAGTGAAAACCTATGCATAAAGTGTTTGGTATGCTTCCTGGGCTGGAATGATAGCACAGCGGTAGGGCGTTTGCCTTGCACACGGCCGACCTGGCCAACCCGAGTTTGATTCCTCAGCCCCTCTCGGAAAGCCCAGCAAGCTACCTAGAGTATTTTGCCCGCATGGCAAAGCCTGGCAAGCTCCCATGACTGACGTATTCGATATGCCAAACTCAGTAACAACAAGTGTCACAATGGAGACATTACTGGGCCCGCTCGAGCAAATCGATGAACAACGGGAGGATAGTGCTAGTGCTACTGCTTCCTATTCACTTAACATTATTTTATTTGTGTGCTCCCCCCCCCCCCCCCCCCCAATGATGAACACCTAAACATACAGATTAGAGCCTTCTGGGTTTGAGCTGATCAGGGTATCACTCCGACAGAGACAAAAGGAAAGAGAGGTCAGTCACCTTTGGAAAGCTTTGAGACTCATCTGTACCTTTTTAATGATTTGTTCCAACCAGAGAAAGCAACAGCAAGTTTCTATGAGGTAATTAATTGATTAGATTGATTATGAAAGTAAGATACTTCTTCAGAACAGTGCTAGAAGTAGGTTTGAAACTGTTAGGGGAGTTCAGATCTGCTTGGCTTTTTTTGTTTTCTTTTTCCCTGTACTTGCTCAGCTGGTCAGGCAAGGCTTGGTAGTTTATTGTAGGTAATATTTAATTTAGAGTCCCTATTTGCATAAACTCCAGGGTATCTCTTCAGGATTGCCAGCCAGTGACTGGGGTCTGTGTTCTTTCTCTGGGGGGTGTCACTTAGTTCTAAAGCCATCAGGGTAAAGTGAGTCGGAAGCATTCTAGACATTTTCAGCAAACGAGAAGTTAGAACAGGCAAATGTTTTGTGTTGCCTCCACACACTCCTGGATCTTCCATCCTGTTCAACAACTTTGAGAAAAGATAGCTCGGCAAAAGATAGGTCCCCAAAATAGCTTGGGAGCATTTTCTTCTGTGATCTTAAGAGCAGTGTGGGTTTCCTGTTATTTATTTATTTATAGCTTTTTGGGCCACACCCGGTGATGCTCAGGGGGTTACTCCTGGCTCAGCACTCAGGAATTTTCCTGGCAGAGCTTGGGGGACCATATGGGATGCCGGGGATC